AGTTTATGTACTTGGGAAAGGAAGGAGTATTTTATGACCCCTTCAGATAGCTGTGGATATTTTTCTTTGATATAACACCAAAACTCAACAAATGGTAGTTTCCTGAACTACCAGTTCTACCAGTTCTACACTAGCAGTGTAGAATCTGCAACCATATGAGCATACTCTGTTAAATTAAAAATTCATTAGCTTTCATGCACTTATGAATGAGGCTTTTACTCATGCATGATTTTTATAATTTCATGCATCGGTCATTTGGAAAATATTGGTTCTCTTATGCAGATTTTGTATGTGTTGACTCATTTTATAATAATGAAAATATTCCATTGATCTTTAAAGTGTTGGGAAGCTCTGGAGCTCACAATGATAGGTACAGCTTTTCCAGACTTCAGATCTTCCTTTAAAGCTTGCATTTTATTATTGGCAAGAAATACTGTCAGTTGTTTTTCCTAAAGTAACAGGCTCCCTTTTTTTTATTTTTTATTTTCAGGACAGTATCTGCCAAATACGCAAGTCTGAATAATCATAGTTTGTCTGTTGGTAGTTCAAATAAGAATTGTGTTTTTATTATTTATTACTGCTATAAAAAAGTATCCCAACTTGGTGCCTTTAAACAACACAAATTTATTATCTTACAGTTCCTTAGGTTAGAAATTCGACATGGGTCTCACTGGCTAAAATCAAGGTGTTGGGAGGACTGTGTTCCCTTCCAGAGCCTCGAGGGGTGAATGTGTGTCCGAGCCTTTCCCAGCTTCTAAAGGCTACCCACATTCCTTGGCTCATGGCACCTTCCTCCATCTTCAAAGCCAGCAGTATTGCATCCCTCTGACCCTGCCTCCATTGTCACATCTTTCCTGATCACTGTTTTCTGCTTTCCCCTTTTAAGTACCTTGATGTCATTGGGCTCACCTGGATTACCCAGGACACACTCCCTATCTGCTGATTAGCAAGCTTAGTTACATCTGTAACCTTGGTTCTCCTTTGCCCTGTAGCATTTTCACAGGATCCAGGGATTAGGATGTAGATATCTTTGGGGCTGAGGGTTGCTGGTGATGGTGGTGATTATTCTATCTACAACACAGTCTTCTATGAAAAAAACTAGTTCATCTTGCAACTCAGTTGTATAGATGCTTTTCCTTAAGGTCTCTATCAATCATAAAGTAGTTTAATAGGCAACAAGTGTTTCATGCATACTCCCCCATTTCATCTCATAGAATATTAAAAAATGTATACTCAATTGTCTATCTAGATTTAATAAAAATTAGCACTTTATTGCTTTATCAAGGACATTCTTAATTGGATTTTTATTTGGGAAAGGGGGTGAGTAGACAGCAGTGAAAAAGAATGCAATAAGTACTGGTTCAGTTGGGTGCCACAGCTTTGATACATGCTAAGGTGCCAGCAGTTTGACTCACAATCAGCATACACGTCAGTGGAAAATGCCAAATAGCCTCTTAATGCTACCATGAAGATAGTTCTGACATCATGCTCCCTCCCCCAAAAAGGGTCTCAAGAGTTCACAATTCACACCTTGAAAACTGTTGCACAGTGAAATATCTCATTGTGACCATTTAAAATGTCTAGATTAAATTAGAAAATATTAAAGGTTTTATAAGGATGTAAGACCTGGGCTGTTCTCATGGGATGTGCTGCCCCAGTGGCCTTCCTTGGGTGTGACACCAGGGAAGATGGGGTGAAATGCAAGACTTCTTACGAGGTCTCTGAGAACTTGACTGTTCAAATCTGTTTCTCCTGATAAGGGGCTCTGACTTCATCATCCACCTTTCCAGGAACTCAGGGGCATGTAAGGCAGGTTGCAGTGTCTGTTTCTTTGATTCTGTGTTAAAGTGCTTACTCTATGAGAGGAAGAGCAAATTTATATACCATTGGTTTGCAGCTGTGGGAGCACACATTAGTTTTGGTAGGTGTTTGAAAGATACTTTACTTTGTTGAGATTCAAGACCTTCATCTCAAATATAACCTTTGTCCTGTCGGACTGACCATCATCACTTTTTATAAATACAGACATTTGTTGAGTGCCCAAACACTTCCATCTGTACTCCATATGAATAGTTTATGTGCAAGCATGGAATTATAGAAACATTGTTAAATGACCCAGAGATTATCCATAGCAAAATCCTAAACTTTGGATAAACCCGACATGTTCCCAGGATGGCTTCTAGTGTCATCATAACTCTGTTTTGAACATTATATTAAAGTATTATATATTCATGTACAAAACCCCTCACAGATATGTTTGTGTTTCTCAAGGAACAAAAAAACACTGTATTATGTAACTTCCTAACAATCCAGAATCTTCAAACCATAGCTTTAACTCCATTTACATTTGCTCCTTCTCTTGGAATGTTCCTTATTACTTTTACATAACTCCTCCTTAACAACTTCTCATTCTGGCAAGGAACATGATTTCTAACTAAGGATTGTAGGGGCCTGGGTTCAGAGAATGCCACCTACCTTTGATTTAATTGGAGTAGAAATCAAGTGTACAGTCATATTGTCACCTTTGAGGATACAGCAGATGACACTTGGCACAGTTTCAAACCAGAGGAAATTTAACATTCTGATGAGTTTTCCTAATCCTCTTAAAAGGAGCATTCATTCCCTTCAAAGCCGGCGAACCCAGTTTGTTCTGTTTGCAGGTGGAACTCACTAGCATATGAGAAATCAGTCAAAAGAACAGGCACATTGTCCTTGGATTCTGCTTGTCCAGTGCAGGGGGAAGTATTCTTATCTTCTTTTGAAGCAAACTCTTTTTTAATATAAATGAATCCTTTTGAATATTGTACAGTGAAATCTTTGGCTTTTATCTAAGAAGTTTTGAATTGGCACCCACAAATTCAGTGTCACCGCAGTGCTTTCCATTGATCAGGGTGACTTTTGTTTTGCATCGTAGCATGTGAAGGCTGATCTGGAAGACACAGCCAGGCAACGTATAACTTAAAGCCCCTTCCTTTCACCAGATTGCTTTATCTCTTTGTTCTCCCTAGAGTGGGGAGTCATATAATGACCAGTCCTGGGATTTGGCTGTATTGAGACCTCTTTTGTAATAGACACAGAAACTATCATTACCTTTTTATTTGTTGAGACATAATAGGGCACTCAGCTGACTTCTAAAGCCAAGGTGAAGCCTGTCCCTTGGTAGCATTCCCCTCCAAGCATTAGCTACATGCAGGCATTAGAAGCAAGCCAGCAGAGAAAGAGGTCAAATGTCAGTGGTGTGTAGCAAGTTTTACCCTGATTTTTGTTCTGTTTTGTTTTTCCTTAGCGTGGTATATAAAAATGAACTAAATCTTGAATGTATTCCTGTTAATAATTAAAATGAAGTAGAAGTAACAATAATGTCAGGTTGTGCTATTTTAAAAATTTTCCAATATCAGTCTATCCAGTTATTTGCAAGTTTCAGACTTGGAATTTTATCTTCCACCCACCAGAGCAGGTAAAATAGAGTCCGTGCTGTGTAGTTACAGTAAGTACTCCAGGAGCTCTGCTCTCTGAGGCTGTTGAGCTTTCTTGTCAACTGAGCAGGGTGCAGTGTAAGCAAAGGCTTCCCCCCGTGCCGTTTTCTGTCATCTCTGTTTTGAACCATTTGGTTTGGAAAGTTAACAAAGGTAGTTCAGATTCATAGTCCCTTCATGTAAAATGGCAGGGATTGGGTTTGTTTCAAAATTCAGAAATTTTCAGATTTTAAAAGGGTAATAAAATACATATGCCATATAGTAATATTCCCAGTGGAATCCAGGGCTATACCCCACAATCAAACACATTAATATTTATTCAGGGGAAGTATGAATATTCACACAAAGAGGAATACATTTAAAATACTAATGTCAGCCCTATATCAAGTTTTGCTGCCAAATGTGTTTGCTTAAATTTGGTTTTTACCTTTCAACTTCAGAATTGCAAATAAGAGGTTGTAGACATATGGTGCAGTGATAGAAGTAGAGCAAGACAAGCCTGGTGAGTCCTGGTGACATTTGATGGAGCCGAGTTCCAGGACAGATGACTTGTGACCTGGTGTCTCTCTTACTGGACTTGTTGCTTTCTCTTCCATTCTCTGGTGTGCCCCTTGCTTCTCTGTCAAATGGGTGATGTTTGCCTTGTGGGCTGTTATGAGGGTAAGAAGTTAACATAGTGTTTGGCATATAGTAGGTATTCAATAAATGTTGCCTATTAAAATTTCACCTCTTCCCTTCCTCTTTTCCTTCTGTTAGATCAGACCTTACTGATGCAGTGATTGCAGTGAGTCCCACTCTGGAAATAGGAATAAGTGATAAGAATTGTCCTAATGTCACTGGAGAATTCAGTCTAAATTTTTATGTCAAAAACTCATTTCTTGTTAAATGACCAGTACCACCTTAAAAGTGTTTGCAAAATGATGAACAGAGGTTTTGATTGCTTTTATAACATATTTAAATTTCTTGAATGCTTCATTTTAACTGTATTTGAGAAAGAAATACATTTAATATCTTGAAAAATGGTGTTGAGATAAATCTTTTATAATTTTACAAACTTTTTTTTGCAAAAGTATTAATGAACTTTTCGTGCAAAACAACTTGTTTTAAACTGTGTTTTATAAAGTGGACCTCTGCTTTTAGATTCACAAAGACCTGGCTTTAAAAGGGGGAGATCATAGAAAAAGAATTGCCTTTCATTATCAGACTATTTTGTTACAGTCTCATTTTGTACTTTGTAATCAATTAAGATTATAGAGTATCAACATTGTTCTAATGATGCATGATCTTGACATACAGGAAATTTTAATTTATTTTTGTGGCCTTTTCTCTTAATTCATGAATAATATAGATGCTTGCTCCACTGTATTTTTTGGATCAGAGACAGAAGAATTCAAACAGGAGGATTTCAAAAGAAGAAAGATGTTAGTTGCTTCCTGAGCATGTGCCCTGCAAGACCTTATTAGGTTTTAAGTGGGACAAAGTAGATATGCCTGTATTTATATGTATCGCATTCCTGCCTTACAGCTGAACTACCAGCAGAAAGTAGGCATCATGTACTGCAAAGCCGGACAGAGCACTGAAGAAGAGATGTACAACAATGAATCAGCTGGCCCGGCCTTTGAGGAATTCCTTCAGCTACTGGGAGAACGAGTTCGGCTTAAGGGATTTGAGAAATATCGTGCACAGCTTGACACCAAAAGTAAGAAATACTTATACCCTCCTACTAGGCATATTTTTCTCCTGCTGAGTTGATGTGCATTTGCTAAATTATCCGTAAAACAACATTGCCATTTATTGCAGAAAACTGCTGGCAGTTCGGGAAGAGAAGGCCAGAGAGGGGCAATGTAGTGCCAGAACCGTTGAAGATCATTATCAAAGTAGCTAGAATTGGACTGTAAAAAAATAATGTTATCATCAGTGTGGATAGAGTAGGGCAATGGACACAGATCGTACAGAATTGCTGCTGGGTAGCATTGTATGAATTTCGTTGCATTTAGCTGAATGTCAGGGTAATGAAAAACTCCAGAAACGTATAGCCATCTGATTGTAAGCCCTCAAAATTTTGACTTTCATTGATTCATTTCATAATCTTCATCCTTGTCTATGTAGTCGGCCTTTGCATGGTTTTCTTACTGATGTTTGCATTCTTTTAATATATAGGTTGTTTGTTTCTATTGTTATTGTTCATAGTCTAACTTAATCTCTAAGAACATAGGCTTGTTAGCTTTGGTATTAGTTTGGCTCATAAAATGAGCCGACGAAAAGCACACAGTGAAACAATCTGTTTAGCTATGGTGCATGAACCTACAAGGTTGTCCACTGCCATCCCCAAGTTGTTAATAAAATAGTTACGTTCTCAAATATCTGTTTGAGTTAGAATATGTTGACTGCTGCTGCAGGTCTACATGGAGGCAGTTTTAAATTTTATCTCAAGATCCATCCATAGACACCTGTGACCTGTTTTTCTTTGACAGGGTCTTTGGATTAGCACATCTGTATTGCAGTCTATAGTAATCTCTCTGATTTTCTGTACAGGAAATTAAATAAGGAGTTGAGTCATGAAAACAGAAAAGCATTCATAAACTCCAGTGCAGGGAAGAATTTCCTGTTGCCATGGTTTTGCTGTTGCCAACTTGGAAACGACATGCAAGAGAGACTATTAAAATCCATAAATAGCCCTAGCCCTTTAAATATTATTTTAACATTCTATACTCTGCTTGCAAGTACATAAAATGTTAAATCTCAATATGCCCTTAAACTTTTTTTAATCCAAATATTCTGAAATTGACCCAGTATAAATTCACTCATGTTGTCCCATTTTGTTGTGCTGTATAAATTATCGTCACCACAAAGAACTATTGAAAGGATCTGGAAAGAGAATGTGTAATAAGCCCCGTGATTCTATAAATGAATGGTCCAATTGGGACTTGATGAGATTGTGTATTATTTCTGTGTATTTACATATTCCCAGCCACCTCTTGATGTTGAAGGGCAATAAGAAATGTGTAGCTAGAGCATAGTTCAGCAATGTGGCATCTAGTGAGCAGTGGAATAAGAAAAGTCAGTTCTTTGTGAACAGTTTGCCCCAATATCCCCACCAGTACAAAGACTAGAAGGGGGATGAGCCTCGATTAGCAAACTGCCTCCTGCCTCCAAACTGTGGTTTTAGAATTATGTAATACATTCAGCAGGGAGGGTTCTTTTTCTCTGAGCTACTCTCCTTTAAGTAGTTCAACTTCCTGAAGTATATCTAACCTTTTAAGGGACAGCTCCTGAAAAGGATTCACAGACAAGTGTCCTTTTCTGTCCTTTCAGGGTGTCAGATTTCTTAAAATGAGTAAAAAGTAGGAAAGTGTTTTCACTCTAAAGCCCCAAAGAAAGCAGCATGCAAAATTATCTCCTTTACCATAAGCTAAAAGGGACAAAAACTAGAGGAGTCCATTATCAGCCTTGTCATTTAAACCCATATTAAAAAAATAACAGACCACCAAAATAGGCAAGAGACAGCCCCTGCACAGCCCTGCAGCCTCCAGCACAACCAGAGATAAGACTTTGCTCTGTGTGCTGTGATGTAATCTTACCGCATTTTATCCAGCTTTATTTTGTGTCAGGAAACTTTCCTTCAATATAATTCTTTCTTTAAAAAAAAAAAGTGTTTTCAAGAACAAATGTTCCTCAAGGATCATTCCCATTGTAGATGTCACTTGAATCTGTGGATTTGTAGTTCTCATCAAATTAAAATACTTTTTGCTATTTCTTTCTTTCTTTCTTTTTTCTGTCTCACCTCCCTTCTTTCTGAGCCTACAATTACACATATTATATCACTTACTAGTGTACCACAGGTTAATGAGGCTTTGTTCATTGTTTTTTTTCCAACCTTTTTTTTCCTCTGTGCTTCAGTTTGGATAATTTCTATTAATATGTCTTTAAGCTCGTTATGTTTTTATTTTCTTCCCTAGTGTCTTAATTCATTGTTAATTCAACTCAGTGAAATTTCCATTTAAGATACTGTATTTTGGCCAGGCATGGTGGCTCATGCCTATAATCCTAGCACTCTGGGAGGCTAGGGCAGGAGGGCGCTTGAGCTCAGGAGTTTGAGACCAGCCTGAGCAAGAGTGAGACCCCATTTCTACTATAAATAGAAAAAAATTGGCTGGGTGTGGTGGCGTACGTGTGTAGTCCCAGCTACTCAGGAGGCTGAGGCAGAAGGATTTCTTGAGCCCAGGAGTTTGAGTTTGCTATGAACTAGGCTGGGAGACAGAGTGAGACTCTATCTCAAAAAAAAAAAAAAAAAAAGATACTGTATTTAAAGGCCAGAAGTTGCTTATATCTTCCATTGTCTCCTCATTAGGTTCATGCTGTCCTTTAAATCCTTGAACATGTTTATAATAGTTGTTTTAAAGTCTTCATCTGCCAATTCCATCCTCTGTCATTTTGGGGTTTTTTGTTTCAATGAAGTTTTCTCCTGCTTTGGGGTATATTTTACTGCTTCGCATGTCTGGTTATTTTGGATTAGATATTGGATATTGTGAATGTTTCATGATTGAGTTTTGTTTGGGAAGGCAGTTAAATTCTTATAGAACAGCTTGATTCTTATGGGTCTTGTTTTGAAGCTTTGGTAAAGCTTACCTAGAGTAGCCTTTATTCTCTGTTTAAGTTAGCCCTGCTACGAAGGCATGACTTTCTTGCCCCTGAATACCTGCGTAGTCAATGAGATGTCTCCACTTTGGCTGGTCAGAACTCCAGTGTCTTCCAAACCTGTGTGAACTATAGGAATTGTTTGGCTTATAATTCTCTGGAAGTTGTTCTTTCCTTAACAGTTTTTCTTTGCTTGGTTTTTGGAATTTAACTCTGTCCATGTGCAGCTTACTATTCATCCCAAAACTCAAGGAGACCCCTATTCAGGTGTCTGAACCTCTTTCACAATGAGTTTTCCTTCTTTTTGGTATTCTTCCTGGCAAACAGCCACTCAGACCTCCTGAACTCCAGTCTGTCTCGTCTTCTACCTCCAAAGCCCTGCTGTGTGCCGTTGTCTCAGAAGTGCTCAAGATAGAAAGCTGAGGGGATCATAGGTCTGATCTCCTTTGATCCTGTTTTCTCAAAGATCACATCCAGTGCTACCTAGCATCCAATGTCTCAAAACAGTTCTTTTCATGTATTTTGTTATTTACAGTAACAAGGTGGGTACTGTATCGAGTAGTTTGCTATGGCTGAAAGCAGAAGTCCCAGATACTTTTGATATATATATGCCATCTTGTTTAATTCCCACAAACTGCTAGATACCAATTATCCCCATTTTACAGAATTGGCTTCTTTAAATTAAAAAACATGCCCCTGGTTAGACAGCAAATAAGCATCAGGGAAACAGAACAGATCCTAGTGGTATGGTTAATGAAGTGTTCAGAGAAAGCATAAATATAGAATTAAGCACAGTGAAGACGCAAGCCCAGCCTTTTGCCTATGTCTTCCCCTCTGTCAATTCTAGGGCCAACAATACCCAAACCATCTCATGAGATAGCTCTGCTTGTTACATATTATGTTGATATTCATAATATGTGATATTTTGGTACTTCTGCAAAGAAGAGAGAGGCCAAGGAAAGGAAGAATTGATGGAACTATTGAACCATTTCGCCTTTTCCCCCAGTTATCTCTGCAAAATCCATTCTCTCATCTCAGAAATAGGAACTTGTAGCAAACAAACAAGTTACAAATAAATACGTCACAGGCTGGAAAAATTCTGCAATGAAGAAATTTTCAGTTGGGGATTTTTTTCCTCCTTTTTTTGTTTTCTTATTTGGATGACTTAAACTCTAGATAATTACCATTCCCTCACACTATAATAAATACAAAAATAAACTTCCCACCAAGCAGTTTGTTGTTTGAAAGCTGGAGACCACCCTCAGTTTAAGCTATGCACATGGATTATTATTTGGGAAATTATTTCCTGACCAAGGCTTGTCAGGTCATTACACAGGAGACTTAGAGGCCCTCTGGAAAGCATTCCTTCAAAGACCTGCCCTCATTGGCTTGCTGCAATATTCGTGAATGCTTCTTACCTCCTCCGTTTTTCAGCAGGGTTACAAAGGCAGTTGAGATTCAAGGTCTTACGGGAGATGTAAGACTTTTCATTAAGAAAATAAATCCTTCTTTATTTTGAATATCGAGACTTTGATATGGAAAGGGACAACTAACACTGCTTAAGTGCTTTGTACATGCAAAGGGCTATGTGGAGTTCTGCAGACTGACAACTGAAGAAAAGGATTCTTTTTAAGGCAATTCTACACGGTTTACCTTAACTGCACAAAATTCTAAATTCCAGACAACATACTTATTGAGCATCTTTTCTGAGGCTAGTACTGTCATATGTACTGTTTCCCTTAATCCTCGCAACATTCAGAATATTGAAGAGAGAAGTGAAGTGACTTGTTTGTGGTCTTTTAGCAAGTGACACCATTGGCATTCAGATTCACATCATCTTACTTTCAAGTTGGGAATCCCGGTAATTACAGGTATCTTGCAATGCTAACAGAAAGTAGAATATGGTAGCAGCTGACTCCTAAGTACCAGCCCCACACCATTTCTGTCCTTTTCTCCCAATATTTTAGCAGTTTTGAGAAACCTTGAACCTCAGGTGCATACCCATGCACAATCACTCATTACCTGAACTAACACAGTATAAATTTGCCTGCCATAGCAAAGGGTAGTGCTATAGACTCGTCTTGGTCCCATGCTCATTGAAGTAAAGTAACCTATCTGATCATGGCTAAACATACATTGATTTAAAAAGTTAGCAAATATAGTAGATGCCAGGGCAGGTAGAATTCTTAACTTCCCCCAATACTTCATTAGAGAGTAAGAGAGATAGTGCCACCAGACCCGAAGCCTGCCTCCTCTTGAACACCTGCCAGTGTTCCAGAAGTGACTGCTTGGCCCCTGCTGTGCTTCTGAGCTTTGGCTTCTGCATCCCCAGACCCTGAGGCAAGATTGACTACATATCAGATCTGTCTGTATCTGACTGCACCATGGGGATCTCAAATACATGGTCCCCAGCAGCCAGCTGACTTGTATACTATTTCAAACTATAGACAAGAATCAGACCCATACCCTGTCTCTGATTTTGTCTTGCATCTGATGGGTTTTGTAGTTGTGAGGACTTTAAAAACTAAGCTTAAGCTTTCTTATTCTATTTACTTTATTAGTCATATGCATTTAATGAATGAGATTACTTTTCCTTATGTTCATAAATATTTAAAACAAGGAACTTTCTGAAAATCAAATTACATACGCTTGTTTTCCTTCATCCAGCTTTTCCTAACTCAAACATATCCTTTAATGACCAGGAAGTAGTTATATGAAAGTTTAATTACTTTTTCCTCATTCAAATGCATGCCTTACCATCCAAGCTTTCAACTGCCTCAAAGCAAAAGAGTTGAGCCCACAGAGAAGTCAAGGATGGTTATGACGTTGGCTGTACCTGAAACTGCTCTACAGATTTACTAACATGTTCATGTCACTTCAAATAGAAATGCTTAATGTAGGACATTATCACTACTCTATACTTTTTCAGAGCAGCCTAGAAGAATAAACTTATTCTTCAGTGTTTTCTTATTATCATCTAGTTTGAATATGAGAAGTTTTACTTTCTATGTGACTTAACTGTAAAGTACTCACCATAGTAGTGGATATATATGCCACTCACTGATAGTGTAATTTGGAGGTGGATCAAGTGATTGTCAAGGTGACCTATATAATGCCTGAACTTACTTTTTAAATTCTGAAGCTCCATACAAATATACAATAGCATTAGCATTTTCATCCTTCTTTAGCAAGTATATTGTCCCTTTAGAAATTATTCTTTAACCAGATAAAAGAGCATTTTTTCACTTTCCTAATTTTTATTTTCCTCATAGTCATCCTATTAAAACTTTCATGGTTTCAGGGTTTCATGGTCAAGAGAAATGTAATAGTAACATTGGATGTCTTATTCTTTAGAAATTATAGCAAACATTCTTTTTCCATTCTCCCTGGTAAAGTTTAGCAACTCTATTACGTGCATAGGTATTTCAGGATTTTGGAATTCCTTCTCAGAAAGGAAAGTTCATTGCTTTGGCTCTAGTTTCATCTCTGAAACTTTTGAAACTGTTTTTAAGCTGCTGAAAATTATCCACAAAACTCTGGTGTTTCTAAAGGTCCCCAGAAGATGGCTGCTCAAGGAGCCTATGTCGTCATATGAAATGAGGCGTGCAGAGGAAAGAGGGGGGCTGAGGGGAGAAAAACAGGGTCTTTGGCTTGCCTTCCATAGCATTTTCTTCCCTGGCAGTAATCCTTCTAGAATTAGACAGACGTACAAAGCAAAATGTAATAAATGAATGCTGGGTGACAACCTTTTTTTCTAGTTCATTAATTTTGCTTAAAATTGACTTGAAACACATGGAAGTACATGTCAAAGCTGACATATTCACTTTAAAGTTTTAAAATGTAGTAATCCGTTCTACAGATATTTATAGCAAGGGTCCTTAACAATAGATAAGTTCTTTATGCTCAAGACCTGTCTCACATAGTTCAAATGAACACTTTATTATAATAATATGCAGGGTTTTTTTTCTTTTTTGGTGATCATTAATGCTTAGAAGATATTTTTCTTGGATAGTTACATGTTGGTACATATTTTTGCAATTTTTGAAAAGTCTTCTTTGCTTTGTTCTATATTTAGCCTGTTTTTAAACCTTTGCATTTGAGACTCGGGATTCTAGAACATCTTTAGAAAGCTGTCTGCAAGCCACAATTGTAGTTTATTCTTAGAGCAATACCTAACGGCAATGGAGCTACTGCATTAGAGTGTCTATTAAAGAATAGATTCCTGGGCTGGGCACAGTGGCTCATACCTGTAATCCTAGCGATTTGGGAGACTGAGGCAGAAGGATTGTTTGAGGTCAGGAGTTTGAGACCAGCTTGAGCAAGAGCGAGACCCCCGTCTCTGCAAAAAATAGAAAAATTAGCCAGGCCTGATGGTGTGCACTTGTAGTCCCAGCCACTCTGGAGGCTGAGGCAGGAGGATCACTTGAGCCCAGGAGTTTGAGGTTGTGCTAAACTATGACGATGCCACTGCACTCTAGCTGGGGCAACAGAGTGAGACCTGTCTCAAAAAAAAATTTTTTTTAAAAGGGGAATAAATTCCTCTGGGAATCTGCTTATTAATCTAGCTTTCCAGCTAATGCTGTGCACACTAAATTTTGAGAACTGCTGCCTTTTGGTATATGCTAAAGGCTTTGTCTTATAGCACCATTCTCTAAAATGCAGTAAAGTGCTTTGATACTCAAAAATATGGGTGATGGAGGTTTGAATTTACCAAGAGAAGAATGAAGTATACTTCTCTTTTTGTTGCAACCCATCAGTCCAGGTCCTTTGAGTCTAAATAGATGTTACCATTCAGTTGGGCAGTTAATAACTCTGGCTTCCAGGTATTTGTGGGCACATTGATTCTGAAACTTTACTAATGATTAAGGCAGTAGAGAGGGTTTTTCCCTTAAGTTGAGAGCACAACATACCTAAGTCTGTAAAAAAAAAATTTGGGGGGACATTGCTATAATACCTTTGTTCTTCAGTGTTAATGATCTTGTTAAATTACCATCTATTTTGTGAAAAACAAAACAGTTCCCTTCCTGGAATTGGAAGTATTAGAAAAGGGGTTCTTATAATGTCTGTGGACAGAATTCAGGGGTCTATGAACTTGGATGGGACATACTTTTATCTTTATTTTCACTGAACGCAAGTTGAAATTCAGCATCTCCTTCAATTATGAACATCAGCCACAAACCACAGTAGTATATGCTCTGTGATTTTATTTCCAATACAAAGCACAGATATTTTCATATCATATTTGTTATTGCAGATATCTTAAAATACTGTTTGTGCTCATCACTTCCTCAAGATTATAGCAGATATTAGAGCAATTACTAAATCTTGTGCATATCATTTTTTAATTATTTGATAATTATGTTTTCAAATATAATTGATTTCTTTTGAAATCTTAAGTATTTTATAAATCATAAGTATTTATCTTATTGAAATCTTAAGTATTTTATTTAATCTTAAGTATTTTATCTTAAGTAAGTTTTACAAATATCATTCTGAGAGAGGATCCAATCTATAGGCTTCACTAGGTTGCCAAAGAGGATCAGGTACCAAAAACTGGGTAAGAACGCCTAGAGTGCTCTTGTTTAGAATCTTTTCATCCTAAATCATTCCCTTTTTTTTTCTTTTGAGATATTTCTCTTAAATGAATTATTTTTTCTATTCTTATAGTCATCTCATCATTATATATATTTTTTTAACTGTAGCCGACTCCACTGGAACCCATTCTCTGTACACAACATACAAAGACTATGAAATTATGTTCCATGTTTCTACCATGCTGCCATACACACCTAACAACAAGCAACAGGTAAGAGATCCTCATGTTATTTGTGTTTTCACCCTTGTTTCATTTTCCCCAGAAGCCTAAGTGGCAAATTTGTAAAATCTTAAACCAGAATTTCCTGTTGCACCTGTCACAGCAGCAGGAAGCTTTGTGCTTTGTGGAAGTAGGAATAGCAAATGAGCTGAAAACAAATGAAGAGACACAAATTCTAGGTTAACAGCCAGCTGGATGGCTTTGTGAATTAATCATTTGCTTTTCACCCATGGGGATTGAGATTCTCATGAAATCTGAAGAGAACAAGTTGAAATCATTGGTGATTAGATGACTCTGCAGGGTTGCGAAGAACATGTACGAGTGGGTGCAGTTTCATCTCAAGAGGCCAGTGCACAAAGTGAGAAAGTAGTGACGTTTCATTTTAGACTTCAAAGGAGATTTAGCATGCTAACTTAGAGGAAAGTCAAAATAATTGTCAACAGAATCTGAGAATAATATTCTTTCATAACCTGTTTATCAGGAGATAGCGAGGAACATAGATAACGATTGCATGTGCATGCAGCATACACAGAGTTCCTCTTAAGATGGTCTAAAAGCTCAATGCCTATTTACTAAAATGTGAGATAGTTAAAATGTGGAAACTAAGAAGTGACAGATTGTTACAGAGTAAAATGGAAACCACCAATATTGTTTTAGAGAATATGTATGCAGTAGTTGTTATCAAAAAAGTGTTTCAAAATAAACAATACCAAACTGAAATTTAGAAGAACCAGAGAACTAACAAACTCTCCTTTCAATATCAGTGCACTTTTACTTTCGACCTTAAAATGGGTACAGATTTTTGTTATTGTCAGTTGTGCTGACAGTGGCCAGCTGCAGAACGAATCACATCCTCTTGCACAGAATTTAACCAAATTTATCAGTTTAGGTTTGATTAAATCACAAATCTAGGTAACAGAAGTGTGCCTTTCATGATCACTAAAATAATCAAAAACAGGAAGCAAAGCAATGAATCAGCTTTAAATCTGAAATAAACCTATTTTAAGATAAACTGCCAGATTCATGCTTTGTTGACAATTTGTTTTATACAAATTCCAAGTTCTAGATCTCTTGGAAAGGAAAACATCATGCTAAGAAATATTCTAGACTTCTGGGCCAGGCGTGGTGGCTCTCACGCTTGTAATCCCAATACTTTGGGAGGGCAAAGCGGGAGAATCACTTGAGGCCAGGAGTCCAAAGCCAGCCTGGGCAACATAGCAAGACCCTGTCTCTACAAAAATTAAAAAATTAGCCAGGTGTAGTGGCACACACCTGTAGTCCTAGCTACTTGGGAGGCTGAGGCAGGAGGATCCCTTGAGCCCTGGAGTTTGAGGTTGCAGTGAGCTAAGATAACACCACTGCATTCTAGCCCAGTAACAGAGACCCCATATCAAAAAAAAAGAGAAAGATATACCATATTTCTTATTCTGACCAGTCAGTAGACAAAAAATTTCAGAACATTAGGCTGTTCCGGCCTGATCACTCAGAAGAGAAAGATGAAATTTATGAAGCTAAAAAATTCAGTAACAAGATTCAATTAATTGTTTTTCTAACTAAATGAGTTGAAGTGCTGGGCAGAAAGAGTTGGCATTTAAATGTACAACTATCTAAATTATTTAATTTTAAGGTCTAATTAAAGCAAAAGTGTTAGGATCTCATCAGAATGAGAAAGTAATTGGCACTCTACATATTAAGAAGTTTTCATTCTCGAGCTAAAAATTTATTTACTTCTAGAGAGATTGCCTTATGCTTGGAAAAAACAGAACATATCTTTTTCTCATGAATTTTTAAGTGCCATTTTTCATTACATACAGTGTGAGAGGGATAAATGGATTTGTTTCTATTTGAGTTATTTCTTATTATTTTTGGCTATCAAGCCATATTTTGAAGAAAGAATGACATTCATTGCACAAAAAGACAATATCCACAAAAAAAGATAAAAATTTTTTAAAAAGACAATGACATCATCTATGCAGGAATGGCATAATACATGGATAAATAGTATTTGATTTTGGTATGTCCAAGATTAAGTAGATTAATCTTTAATTATTGTTATATTCTGTATAGCAATCAATACAGACCAGCCTTTATTTTCATGACATTAGATTATATATCATGTTTAGAAATCAAGTAAACTGCCTAATTAGAAGACAATTAGAGGTGCTTTCAGATTCCTAAAATACATTTCCTGAATATTTTGACTCCCAATTCTCAACCCTAATCTAAAAGGCTGTTGTTTCTCCCAGCTGGCAGCCAATACTAGATCATTGATTTTACTGGTATGTGATTTGTGTGCTCTAATATCACTAGAGAATTTAAAAAACCAAAAAGCTTTATAAGTATCAGTTTAGTTTATATAAATGTCACACTGAGTTGTTTTTCTCTTTTGAGAGCCTCCATACAGTAAGCATGTATGACAAATACAATTTTGTTGAATTTTTCTTTTTACTGTTGCACCAAACCCCTGAAAAAGCACTGACTTAGGATGATTTGGGATTCCTGAATTTGAAAGCCACCCATTCAAAATGCCATTTAATGTGGAACAGAAGGTGGTCTTAAGCAGCTTTCACTGTAATTAAAGAAGCTGTTTAAAATTTTAACCTGCTTTTGAATTGTTACAACATTCTGGAATATTATTAATTTCTCCTTTCCCAGCTGTAACACAGAAAATATATCCAAAAACACCTTAGCTACATTTTCTTCAAATGAAGCCAGTTAAACCAGAACATAAATTGCATTGTAATTACTTCAGCCATTCTCATCTCTAAAAATCTTCCCTATGGCAAGTTTCTTTCTTATGTGAAAATGGAACAAAACTGTTGTTATGGAAACTGAGAGATGCTGGGACTTGGCATAACATGCCAGATATTGGTTAGATCTATTTGAATGGCTATATGTTTTACGCAAATTTCAGAATATTCATTTCTGTGTTCTTCCTTGGAGGGAATGATAAGACAGGCTGAAATATTGACAATAACTGTGTAGATTACCTGCCCAAATACGTGCTGATTAGTAATGAATGTTTTAAATACAGTTACATAAGGGAATTTGGGAGAAAAAAAAAGCAAAGCATTGTTATTTACGTTGGTTGCTTATTTTTTCTTGTAGCTCCTACGGAAGCGGCACATCGGAAATGATATTGTAACAATCGTTTTCCAAGAGCCTGGAGCACAGCCGTTCAGCCCAAAAAACATCCGGTCGCACTTTCAGCACGTTTTCGTCATTGTCAGGGCGCATAACCCCTGCTCAGAAGGTGTCTGTTACAGGTGTGTATCGGTGCCACAGCAGTGGCTCGGTGGACCTTGGCTGGTGGTCGCACAGAGGCCCCAACCAGCTCTGCTTTCTAAAATGGCAATGGGAAGTCCATTATTATTTATTTTTGTCTTTAAACTGTGCACGCGGGTGGCCGAATTCACATGATGATGTCATCGGATGGCATTGACATCCCTCAGACATATTGGTTAGACACCTGCCGTTTCCATTTGCACCTCCTCCTTAGGTGATGTCCTTCATCCCTACCATCTGGTCACCAGCTAACTAATTACTCATATTGCTAATTATATTTTTCTCTTGGCATAGCTAAAGCAGAGAAGAATGATTATAATAAGTAGGGAAGAGAAATTCATTTTTTGAAAGACTATTGTTATTAAAAAAGCCCAAACCCTTGCTTCAGACTTAAAGTGATTCACACTAACACTTCTAACTACAAGCTTGGAGGCATTTCTATGCTTTATTAAGCATTTGTGAAATTGTTTCGATGTCTCTTGGATCTTCGAAGAATTTTTATGCCCGTGAGTTTTTCTAGCCACTCCTAAACTACAGGATGTAAATTTATAGGCATCTTTCATTAGGGGTGCTTTGGTGGGAAAGTTTGGAGATGCATTGATTTGTACTCATTTTATTTAAATCTACCTTTCCCCAAGTGATACAGCTAGAGTAATTCAAATGCTTTTTTACCATTTAAAACCTCTTGGTCCCAACTTTCTCCACCATGAACATTCATATATTTATTTACTTAGACCTACCTGGTATCTGAACTATGCAAAGCAGAAAAGTTTCCTAAGGAGTGTCTTGCTCTCGTAGTATAGAGAAGTGTGGAGTCATGATAGGCTGAAGTTAAGGATATTTATCTGAGAAGATGGGATTTGGTGTGTGTTTACAGCACAAATGGATGGAATTCAGTGGGAAAAGAGAAATCATTGTAGGAGTGCCCAGTGGTATGGACAGAAGCAGAGAGACAGAAAGAGGGTGGACAGCACCATAAGAAGGCTGCTAATGTAGGAAAGGTAACTGGGCAGTGCTAGGCCATCAAGGTTGCACTGTATAAATAGAATTTTAGAAAAATTTATCTGATGTCTCCATGCAAGGTAATTTATACACGTAAAGGTAAACTTGGAGGTTGTTGCTGCCCATTTTTACTTTTCACACATTCTTTATCCGGCCCTTATCAGATATATGTGAGGCACTATTTTAGGCCTTGGGATGTAACAGTAGAACAAAAAGAGAAAAATTGCTATAATGGATCCAGAGGTGAAGTCCTGAAATAATGTGGTGTTATGTATCTCCCTGGGGACTGGAAAGTTCATACAGGAAAAAGTAACTTGATTCAGACTAATTCCAGAGGCCAGTTAACCTTGAATACTCATGAGGTCACCAAGAACGCAGAAATCAGTTACTAAACCAGCATACTAAAGCTTATCCTATGACTAATAAGAGAACCCTCCAGTTTTATTTTATTTGTATCAGTGCAATGAGCTTAATTGTCTGGTCCCAGTTGATAGAGCAGATTAGAAGCAATAAAATCTAAAAGAAGAATGATCAGTCAGTGGCAAGTATATACTGAAAACATCAGTACATGATTACTGATAGAGGAGGTACAAAAAAACTCTTAACACCCAATATACAAATTCGATAAGCGTAGAAGTCTGGAGTCATTTGGTGGTGGCCCCCCCTTATTTCCAGGAGATTTGTTCCAAGACTCCCAGTGAATCCCTGAAACTGTGTCTAGTACCAAATCCTGTATATATTGTGTTCTTTTCTGTGTATACATACCTATGATAAAGTTTAATTTATAAATTAGAGTAAGAGATTAACAACTAACAGTAAGAACAGTTATAACAAAATACTTTAATAATAGTTATGTGAATGTGGTCTCTCTTTCTCTGAAAATATCTTGCTGGTGCTGTACCATGGGTGATTGAAACCACAGAAAGTGAAATTGTGGATAAAGGTAACTACTGTATACTTCACTCACCCCTGGGGACTTCACTTTATAAAAACACAGTGTAGAATGTCATCATTTTTCAACAATGAATGAATTAATGGATCTAGGCATTGATCATCAAAAGCTGCAAATGTCACAGAAAGAGACAAATGTGTGCCTCATGATGGAGGAATACATCCTCACCTATGAATTAATTTTGCCCCTTTCCCCCACTAATTTAAATCTGAATCTGATCAAGCCTCTAAACAAGCCAACTTATGGGAACTAGAAAGACAGAGGAACATGTTTGTAGTTGACAAAATTCAGACTCTGGACAACTCTGTACAACAAACAGCCCAATTTCTTCAACAGATAAATTAGAAGAAATATAAGAATACAAGAAGTGGAGGAGAATCTATAGAATAAAAAGATTTTTAAAGATGATGGAATTAATCACAATTTGTGGACCTTACTTGGGTCCCAGTTTAGATAAAAAGACTATAAAAAACTCTAAGGACTTCTTAAACAATTGGAAATTTGAGCATCAACATACCATGTGATGAAAGAATTATTAATTTTAAAACTAGGATAGTAATAAGTAGTTATAATAATGATCCTGAGTCTTTAAAACATGTTAAATTGTGGTCAGTAGCTATATTTAGGAAGATGGAAATATATGTTACTCCTCTCAGAAAGGTTTCTGTACCCAGTAATTAAAATGTAATAAATGTAAAAGGAGTCAGTATGATGTAGTGCAGAAAGCACTTGGAATTAGACCAGATTGTTAAACTTCTTAGATCTTAAATTTCCCTTTCTGTGCAGTGGAAAGTTGCTTGACATCTACTTAAAATCCCATAAGTAAAGTATCTAGCATAGGCAGAGAGGGAGTGTGGTCTGTGCACATGAAATGTCCACGTTTATCTTCTTTCTTCTCTTAAAAAAAAAAGAATTTGCAAGCTTAAACCAAAGAGAAAGAAATCAAAATGGGTCAAGTGGTGGAAATTTCCTTCAGAAGTTCTATTCCAAGCCATAATTAATCAGCATCCTTATTGTCCAATGCAGCTGACCTCTCTAAGGCAAGAATCTGAATATGTCACTCTCAGTGCTTAAAAGCACTTAGGGAAGAGGTCGGACTCCCAGCCTCCCATATTGCATGGGGTCCTTCAGGTCTGGCCTCCCGTCTCTCAGTTTCTACTGGCACCTCTACCAATTCCCACCCCACCCCTGCCTCACTCTGGTGGAGCTGGTTACCATCCCCCAGAATGTACGTGCTCTGCCCCTCCTTTCTGCACACGCTGCTCTCTCTAGCTGGAATGCCTTTCCTCACACACTCCCCTGCCTCTCCTTCATCCAGTGAATCCCTGCATTTTTCTTCTATGGCAAGGCTCCCCGGTTCTCCCAGGACTAGATAAAGTGCATTTCCTAAGCATTGCCAGTAGCACCCCGGGCTTCAACAGCAGAGCACTCAAAGCATTGATTGTAGCCTCCACCAGACTTTGAGTTTCTGGAGTGCTGAGCCCTTGACATACTCAACCTTGATCCTCAATGTTAGCACAGAACCTAGTGGTACAGTAGGTGCTCAGAGAGTGTTTGATGACTTGATGAATGAATGCTGTTAGAAATCGAGAGAATGATTAGCATATGTTTGTTCTGCCACTGATCTTTCCTGTCATTTGCCCAGGTCTGCTTTTTAGGAAAGCTTCCCAAGCCATCTTTCTGACCCAGGCTCCAAGAAGGGGAAATTTCCGTCTACTATTTTGATGTTGTCTATGTCAACTTCCTTTTAAATTTTGAACTGGGAATTGTTTACTGCTGTTTCCATTGTGCTTCCAAAGTTCAAGTGTTTCAACTTTGAAATTATTAATACTTTTTTCCATTGAGATTTATGTTCTGGAGATTTCCTGTGTACCCCCTTAAAATTGGCTTTGAGTATCAAGACTTGTAACTTCATCCAAGGTCTTTGATGCCAACAAATGTTACATGGTCCAGATCAACTAGAAACAGCCTCATGGTGGTCTCTTCGCATGTGACTCATGTGAATGGTCCTTTTTAGCAAGCACCTCCGGGAGTGGAAGGTTTCAGAACATTTCCTCAGAGGGAGTAAGTGTGGTCTCGTCATGGAGCACTCTGTTGGGCGTCCAGAAGCTTCCATTCCAGTCCTGGCTCTCTTTAATAGCAACTCTGGGCAAATCATTTCACTTCTCTGCCTCTGTGTCCTGGAGAAGTGAAGAATTTGTACCAGCTGTGCAAACGGAGGTTCAGGGATATGTCAAACCACAGAGTAAACATGGGACACCTTCCTGGTCCTTCAGTGTGCTTAAATGTTTTGGAAGGAGAACATATTTTTATGTTAAAATGAATACAAATATTTTCCAGTAAAGTTGCAAAATCGAGGTGTGTTTTAACATGAAACTCAAGATTTTATTGGAAGAGTTTGAAGAACACTGACTTCTCCAAGTTTCCTTCCTGGGCTAACTTTCTGTAATGTATGAGCCTCTGAGTTTCTGTCGTCTGGATAACCATCTTGACTAGAACATTCTAGTCCTCAACAATGCTGGTTAAATAAAGCATGGCTAAAATGTTAAAGAATGTATTATTTCTAAAAAAGATACATTATTGCAAAATAGGCTAACATGAATGTAGCAAAGCAGAGGCCCTTTGGAATCTGCTTTTTAAAATAGCAAGAACTATTTATAATAAATATATCTTAGGTATTTATATATAGCAAAAACTAAGCTTCTGGAAAGGCTCATTTTCTTAAGGAGGCAAAATATTTTATTTAACTTAAACCAGGCCTTATTATCAAGAGTTCAGAATTTGTGGCACCTAAATTAATGAGCTTTTAACCTTGTAGAAACCTTGAAAGTTAGATTTCTCCAAAACAGAATCCTTTATTTGAAAAGAACATTCCAGGGTATCATCTTCCTCATCTTCTTTCTGTAAGGATTCTATTTCTGATGATGCAAAGCTGATTTTAACGTCTGTATCATTTACCTCCCTACCACAGTGAATCATTGATAATTATATGTTAAGGATCCAGTTCTTTTTCCTTGCAGTTTATTCTAGATGCTTCTAATTATTGGTAGGTTTTTGGTATGTGTTTGTCTAAAGTTCTATCAATTAGTGATGAGATCTGTAGAAAGCCAGTGAGTCTAACAGGCACGTGGATGGAGGGTGCTCATAACCACATATCCCCCCAACCCATCCCTAGCATTTCCTCTCCTTCTTTAAAATAAAACCACAGCTGTTTTCTGGGAAAGAATAACGATTGAGTGAAATTAGCAAGAAAAGAAATTGCCAATTTTAAAATGAAAGGTATTACATATTTTGGGATCCTTATAGGATTTCCTCTTAGAAAATCTAGTAAATCTGGATTTCAGCATCTTTTGCTTGACTTTAAAAGAAAAAAAATAACACGATCAAATTAAAATTATACAGCTGTCAGCATTCAAGCCAGACAGTTCACAATAGACAAGAAAAATTGCCTTTCTAATACATAGCGGTATAATTAAGCCATAATGCATATCGAGGTTTCTGTGCATTCTCTTCTCCAGTTAGAAGATGGAGTGTCGCTTGCCACCTTTCTTTGTCATTAAGTGAACTAGTAGGCTTTTTTGGTTCGTTTTTTTAAATAAGCTTGTGAAAACCAACAAATAGGCCATCTGTGGCATCTTACAGTGTCAATTTTCCATTTCACCAAAAATATAGTTTGTATCCCGAGCTTGCCTATTTTTATTTTTTTATTTTATTTTCACAAGAAATAATTATTTTTTGAAAAGCAAAGCTGAATATTTTAAAGCAAACTCTGTTTGCTTTAAATGAAAAAAATGAACCAGAGCTCTTCAATTTTATTTGAAAGATACTCTATGATGATGTCTTTTCTAGGAGTTCAGAAGAAACAGACTTTTACATTGCTCCCCTAAAACTTAAAACAATTGTGTAATTTACTCACTTTGAAATAATTTGGAAGGAGGGGTGTTGGTGTGTTAAAATCATCATTTCCAGCCATGTCAAACTCTGCTGAAATCTTGGAACATGATGTAAAACACACTGCTCTCCATTTCCATTTAACTTCTGCTGTTTTCGGAGAACTGAATTTTGTTTCTTTTGAAGCTAAAAATAATAGGTTGTCCCAGATGTTCATATAGTCCTTTTCTTAGGCCCATTTTTAGTCAAATATTAATATATGCAGAAGAAATGACTACAACAGGCTTTCTTATATCTTGCTTAAAGGAATAGGAAAAGTAAGATGTTTTTCTCTCAAATAGGTTGTCAAGAGTCAAATACCAAAAGTAGAGAATTAGCACTAAAGAATAGCTCAGTTTTAAAATATGATTTTAAAGCACTGTTGCCATTATATAAAGATCACACTCGTTCTGTTACTCAAATTCCAATTTTCATTTTAAACTTATGCTTTAATCTGGTTGCATAATGCCTCACACGTAGGCCAACAAATACTGAATTTTATTCAAATTTAATATCCTTCTTTTATGCCATGCATCTTCTGATATTTTTATTATAAACTACTTAGAGGCATTCTGTCTAAAGTGAAGAACACATTTGTGTTCTTACAGAATCTGCTTATTATGAAAGGTCACGTGATTGTAGTAACCTCTGTTGAAAACAGTCTGTAGATATTTAAAATGTCACATGCAGAATATTTCAGTAAATCCGTTTTCTCATGGAATTATGGTTAGTTTCCTATCTGTTAAAAAAAAGAAAGTTAATACTTCAAGCTTTTCGGGTTTTTATGAGGTTTTTGGCCTAGAGAAAACATTTATGTTCTATGATCCTAATTGTGGTTGAATGAAAAAGTGAGTGTGCTTATATTAAGCAGAATGTATGTTGTTTCTTGTGGAAAAATGAGCAGCTATTTTGCTCCAAAGGTATACCTTTGTCTTTGAGAAAGTATATTTTATTCTCAAGTTGTGAGACTGAGACATATTAACATGCCTCTTCCTCTTTGATCTTTGCTTTTTGTCTCTTAGTGTGGCCGTCACTAGGTCCAGAGATGTGCCTTCTTTTGGGCCTCCCATCCCTAAAGGGGTCACTTTCCCTAAGTCAAACGTGTTCAGGGACTTCCTTTTGGCCAAAGTGATTAATGCGGAAAATGCTGCTCATAAGTCAGAAAAGTTCCGGGCCATGGCGACTCGGACCCGCCAGGAATACCTGAAAGATCTGGCAGAAAAGAATGTCACCAACACCCCTATTGACCCTTCTGGCAAGTTTCCATTCATCTCTCTGGCCTCCAAGAAGAAGGAAAAGTCTAAGCCATACCCAGGAGCTGAGCTCAGTAGCATGGGAGCCATCGTGTGGGCCGTCCGGGCCAAAGACTACAACAAGGCCATGGAAATAGACTCTCTTTTGGGGATCTCCAATGAGTTCATTGTCCTCATCGAACAGGAAACAAAGAGCGTGGTTTTCAATTGTTCCTGCAGAGATGTGATAGGGTGGACTTCAACTGACACCAGCCTCAAAATCTTCTACGAACGAGGAGAATGTATTTCAGTGGAGAGTTTCATTAACAATGAGGATATCAAAGAGATCGTCAAAAGGTTGCAGGTGAGTCTTTTCCTTCCACTCACTTATATACAGTTTCCCTTTCATTAAGCTTTCAGTGCAGACTAGAGCCAAGTTACGGAAGCTTGTACTGTCTTAATAGCTCCTCTGAAAACTCCCTTGAATAAGTGAAGCAGTCTGAGTTTATCTCTGGCTTGTGTTTTCCACTATGTTTTGGAATAGTAGCAGAACAAATGGGGGAGACGCGTTGCATGTATGTGTTGGAGACCTGTTTGCATGTGACCCTACAGTGCAGCCCAGCCCATCTGGTGATGGCGATGAACAGAGTTGTTTGAGTATCTGCCGCCCTGAGTTGTATAAAGGCAAAGTGAGTAGCAGAGTAGGGTTTCTCTTTGCTGCCAGCTCCCTGTAGGTCGCTGTTAGAGGTTTCCTTGTAACTTCAGGGAAGGCTTTGAGCTTTTTGGATGCAACAAATATGTTCCTTTTGGCCTAATGAATAGAGACTAGTGAAGGGGAAATAACCAGACTGCTCTTCAGCTGACAGCAGGGTATTCAGAAATAGCCCTGCTTGCAGTGTTTTTCCAGTTCCTTGTCCACCCCTTAATCCCCTAGTGCATTAAACCACAGTCTCTTTTATTTCCCCGTCTAGTTTGTTTCAAAAGGTTGTGAATCAGTGGAGATGACTCTGCGAAGAAATGGGTTAGGGCAGCTTGGCTTCCACGTCAACTACGAGGGCATCGTGGCCGACGTGGAGCCCTACGGCTACGCCTGGCAGGCAGGGCTGAGGCAGGGCAGCCGCCTGGTGGAGATCTGCAAGGTGGCGGTGGCCACTCTGAGCCACGAGCAGATGATCGACCTCCTGAGGACCTCCGTCACGGTGAAGGTCGTCATCATTCCACCCCATGACGACTGCACCCCGCGGAGGTAGGTCTGAGCGGGCACCTGTGGGCCTGAGCGCGGAGGGCAGGGTTTGTGTCCCATGGAGAACACTGCTTCCTAGCCAGTGGGGGAGTAGGGTGTCGTGAAGAGCAGTAGGTTACATGTGGCACAGAAAGTCCATCCGTGGAAAATCTGACTCAAGATGCAGCTCCAGTTCCGCATGTGGCAAGCAGCAGCTGGAGAGAATGGCTAAGTGGGACCATTCCCGGGTTTTACATCTCTGATTTATAAAGTTGCCATTACAGATTGAGCAGTCTGGTAATATCCATCTTAAGCATCTTACACCAGTAGCTGAGAAACATTGAACACTTCACATGAAAAGACACTCAGATGCATGAAAAGATGCATCTCAGTCAGATTTTCTTCTTTTGTGTTCCATGGTGCTCTTAGTCTTTTCTAGCTCCCATCTGTACCAAATTGCTGTTGAAAACTCAGAGGACTGTTTTGGTCTTTGCTGGGCAGCTGAATATGACTTACCAGCCTTTTTCTTAAGTGCATCTGCGTGTGCTGGGAATTGGCTTCAGATGAGCTGGCCCTGCTTGTGATGCTTTGGCGTTTTGGCTCTAGCCTTTTCCCAGAAGGAAAGCCCAGGAGCTCCCTGTCCCTCCCAGCTCCTGCCAAGCCGGCAGCACTATTGAAGATTTAATTTCTCTGTCTCTGGGGAAGCTCTTTGATGGAACAGATTTAATCAATTGTTTTTTGTTCTTGTTGCTAGTTTTTTAAAAATCTGTGTTTTTTTTAAGTCATTATTTTCTAAGAATTTCTCTTAAGCTTTGGCAATTCTTAGGTCTTCTAAAACCAAGACAATGTTCTTTATCTGCTTTTCCCCAAAAAAATGACTGGCCCCACACCTGAGCTCTCATGGATTTATGAATATCAGATGGTGAAAAAATGGTTATGATGGGTTATTTGTGTCCTTTAAAAAGTAAGCAGTGGCCGGGCATGGGCTTATGGCTGTAATCCCAGCACTTTGGTAGGCCAAAGTGGGAGCATTGTTTGAGGCCAGGAATTTGAGACCAGTCTGGGCAACATAGTGAGACGCTGTCTCTATCAAAAAGTTAAAATATAGTCAGGCATGGTAGAGTGTACCTGTAGTCCTAGCTGCTTGGGAGGCTGAGGCAGAAGACTCACTTGAGCCCAGGATTTGGAGGCTACAGTAAGCTTTGATCATATCACCGTACTCCAGCCTAGGTGACACAACAAGATCCTTTCTCTTAAGAAAAAAAAAGTAAGCAGCTATATATATATTTTTTTTTTCAATAAAAAGTAAGCGGCAATGACAATCTAAATGTACTTCAGTTCTTCGAGCCAAGTGTTACAACCAGACTTTGTTGGAGATAGTATTTCCTAATACTGCTTACCTCCTAGATGGCCCAGGATCACGTGTGCACATCAAAATATAGTGAAATCCCTTTGGCTGATAGTTTTAAGAAGTACTCTCTTTTGGACAACTAGATTTCCTTGAACATCAAAATATGTATTCAGAACTTTTTATTTTAGCTATTTTGGAATGCAGGGAAATATTCAGAAACTACCCTACACATATATCCTGCCTTGGTTAACCAGGTCTAATGACCCCTATTAGCCTCTTCTGGTTTCCACAGGCATGTCTTCATTGGTGTTAAGCAGTGTGCTGAACTGTGATTCAAAAAATAGCGCAAGGTAGCTCAGGAAGACAGCTGGCAGCTTACAGCACTCCCCAGCTACGCTACACTGCTTCTCTCGTCTCTTTCTCTGTTGTCTCTTAGTCTCTCTTTCAAGTTGTCTCCTTTATTGCTTCTAAACAGGCAGTTACTAACTGGAAAGATAACCAAGCTTTGTAAAGTTTCAACCTTAATTATATACGGAGTATTAGAGGCTAGTCTACAGACTGTCTACTCAAAAATGCAGCCCCTGGATCTCAGGTGCCATTTCATCTGCTCTGAGGGCTTGCCCTTATTTCTGGACTCCCAGGTTTATACAGGGGAGAGGAGAAGGAAATAGGTTTGTGTGAATGTGGGTGGAAAGGGACAGCACTACTGACACTGGAATTTGAGTTTTTTACTTTAATGTGCCAGGTCCTAGAAAAAGCACTTTTATATGAATTAGTACATTTAATCCTTACAGCAACCCTGGGAAGTACTAGTATTGTTATTTCTGTTTTGAAGAAAACCAACACTCAGGAAGGTTAGTAACTTCCTAAGCTCCTCCGGCCATTGTAGGTCTAACTGCAGAGTATGAGCTCCTGTCACTTTGTTTGCCGCACAAATCCTTTCCTTATACGCCAGAATAAGTAGTGATATGCTAGATCTGTGTGTTTGCTGATTCCCGAGGCGCAGATACTCCCACTGTGGCTAATTTCAAGCTACCAACATGGCAGCCCTGCAGGCAGAGTTGGGGTAGATGGACAATCGGCTTCACGGTACCACTGAATGGATGTGTCACATTTGCTTAATCACCGAATGGCACTGTGAAGCGCTCAGGCCATTCTCCTGCTGGGCTGGGAGGCTGGGGGAAGGGTCAGTGCCCTGCACAGCCCCATGGGCCTGGAGCCACACCTTGCCCCTTTAACTGCAGTTTCCGTCAGACCTTCTGGGCAGGGCGGCAGGGAGGTTGGGAGATGCTGGCATTGATGCCTTCAGAGGCCTTGAAAGCCAGCTCCCCGCTCCTGCCTTTAGAAATGACTTCAAAGGGAACAGTTGAAGCATTAACACCTTGTTATAATTTTCAACAAAATAGGATAATGCTCTTCTGTCATTTTTTTCCTTCTCCTCCGCACTTCACACTCCCACCGCTGTTTTCCTAGCAACTAATTACTCTGTTCTTTGAGGAGTCACTCTCTTCTTCTTTGTCAGCCGTGACTTTACCCCCAAAGTTCCATTGGGAGGCAGGACAGGCCTGCTGGAGGCACGCTGCCCCCTGGCCCTCGGCCGTGTGTGGTTTTTGGGTCTCCAGGACCCGAAGCGGCCACAGGCAGCTGGGGACACAGTGACTGTATGTAATACAAACACCCACAGGTTTGTATGTTCACATGGGAAAGTCATTCGTTTTGAAAAGGCAGCTTTTTAAAAAATATAAAGCCAGTTTAACAATAAAGAAAAAGTGGTACTTAAATAACAAATGTAAAATAGGACTCTTTTCCCTGTTCTTAGACTCCTCCATGGGTCGCTTCCAAACTACAATTGTTTTTTTTAAGAGACGAAGAAATAGAATACAAACTTTCTGGGTCCCTACTATGTGTTGGGCATTTCCCTTTTCATCCTCGTGTCAGCTTCATTTCTATTAAAGTGATGAAGAGAATGAGGCTGGGGGCAGTTCATTCACTGCCCAGAGAGTGAACAAGACCAGCTCGTATGACATTGAGGGGAGCAGTCCTATGGACTTGGCCGGAAGTGAGCAGCCCCTTCTGCAGGAGGTACCCAACCTATCACCCCCATCTGTCACCCCTCTGGAGTGGATGACCAGCGTCAATATATTAGTGTCTGTGACCTCTGAATCTTCAACGTCATGCTGTTGACAAGATGAAAACACTTGGATGACAGATAAAATGCGATGTTCTAGATGGTGTTGCACAGGGCCAACCTCTGTTCTGCTGAGGGCCATTAGCCTACAGTTTTTAAGGAAAGCAATCAAGGGCCATTCAAAACAGAGAGCTAAAAACAGGCAAGTTACATAAAAAGACCAAATTATACCTTTTAGATAAGAAATGGTCTCAAAGTTTTTTCTTCCTTTTGAAAAACCAAGTGCAAAAGCAGACTGCTTCAGAGCTAGAAGGGCTATTCGAAATCATCTGGCTCAAATCTCTCATTTTTCGAGGAAGAACTTTGGTTCAAAGAAGATAATGTGTTTTTTCCAAGCGAGAGTCACATGGCTTGTAGGGATAGAGCCAACTTCACACAGAAAACTTTTCACAGAAAACTCAGGAGTCCAGTGTTGTGATATTCTCTTCAATATACTGGGTCTCCATTTCTCTGTATTTTGTAGTGTCTTAAAGAAAAAAAGAGAGAGTAATTAGAAATGAGAAATTAAAAGAAAGAATAAAAAGGCTGAAAAACAATAAGGAGATGGAGTGGCCTTCAGTTATTTTATAGTTTCAGCGGGTCACCATTTGTCGCTTTTAGCACCAACATTGAAATTCCTGCTGACCAGACCACAGCTCTTTGTTTTTTATAAAAGTTATTGAGTTTTCCTTTCTGTCATAGGCTATGCCTTGTGTGAGACATGATAGTTTCTATAGAGTAAAGGATGTTTGGGGACTTGGAATAGTTTAGTTAGTCACTAAACTAAAACTAACCTATAAGTGGATTAATTATGGGTTTTCAAATCCCAGCTCTGCCACTTCTTAGCCATGTAAACTTGGGCAAGTTAATCCCCCTAGACCCCCACATCCTCATCTATAAAGTGGGGATAATGACAGCATCTCCTTCATGGAGCTGCTGTAAGGTGGCTAGCTTAGTGCCTGGCCCATTGTAAGTAACAGGTATTATTGTAGTTACCATTCTTCAAATTTTACTTAGACTAAGATAATAAAAATCCTTTTGTGAAAGTATATGCGTGGCATCGAAAGGCAGCTTTCCTCTGTGTTCTTCAGTGTACTGTCCCATCCCGATTCTATGTGTCATTCTTTGGTTTTGCAGGGGAAAGTAGGAGACCAGGAAGCCAGTGGGTGGTTGCCCTCGCCTTGAAGGGCCATCAGAAATGGCAGGTGGCTGAGGTTCAGTTCTGTGGAACCTTCTTTGCTTTCTCCTTCTCTATGAAAGAGTCTTGCTCCCTCTCCAGGCTTTACCATACTACATTCCGCTGATGTAGGGTGCACAGAATGTTTCTGGTTATGTGTTAAGCGCAGAGGAAATGAAATACAGACTATGAGGAAGACGAAGTCTTTGGCTAAAGGGATGTTTTATCCAGTTTTAGTATTCAGTGTTATGCAGTTGAAAAGACTGCTACAAATCATTTTTGAAGAAGAAAGCTTAGCTGTTCTCAATTCCAAATCTCTCATTTTACAAGAAGCAAAGGCCCAAAGAGGACAGCAGCTTGTCTGTTTGATGTTGCGTCACTTGCCTGGTGCAAAATGACTGGAAGCAGCTTATGAAGTCCCCTGTGCAGCATCGCAAGACAAAGCCTCAGCGCAGAATTTCGGGGAGAGTAGTGAAAGGAAAACATGGCCTAGGTGGAAATTTGGGGGAAGTTAGGACCCAAAATACTTTATTATCAGGCTCTGTACACGTGCTGGTTCCTAGCCACTACTAGGAACGGACATAGATGATAACAAATAATGGCATTTGTTGAACTCCTAAGTTAAAACCAACTGTTGCTGAGGAGAAGCAAAGCTAGTCCTGATTTTGAGCAGGAGAGAAATTTTGGATTGTTGGATTACTGTAAATTTTTATCGATCTTTCTTTGGAAAAGTATAACATTCTTGCATTATATGTACAAATCCTGAGTACCAGATCTTTATTTTTAATAGTATGTCTTGTTTAGTCAGAAATGAAAGACTCCAAACCATACTGTGTCTCTATTCATGATCAAAAAAGTATTACGATGGCCTATTTTTGTCATCAATATCAGAATCAAAACCAGAAATTATATCAAAGCCTAAGGTAATATTCCCTAATATCACAGAGAAGGGTTTATGGCATAAGAAGTCATTAACCACTAAAAGTAATGTCAAATGTACCATAAAAGCAGTGGTTTTACAAACTACAGATCATAACTCTCGAGTAGGTCATGAAGTCTATTTAGGAGGTCTCACTTAAATTTTTTTTTAGTGAAACATTAATTCAGAATATAGCAAAATGGTAGATGTCAGAGTAAGGGTGAATATGTATGTGAATATGTGGTTGTACTGTATTCCAGTGTAAAATACCTTTCTTACTTGGGTTATCCTCAAAAAAATTTGAAAGTCATTGGCATGAAAGCATAAAAGAGACACAGTAGAGCCTTGGGCATGGGGGTCAGATTAAGGTTGACCTAGGCTTTTGGGGAATTGGGGGTAGAATGGTAAAGAAACACCCCCCACTCCCACCCCACCCCACCCCACCCCGCCAAAGTACCCATGGGAGATGCAGGCCGTGACTGGGTGTGGCAAGGATGCCAACAGACACTGTGTTTGCTCCTGAGCATGTGCTGTGAAAGTGGCTCTTCCTAAAAACAGAGACTCATGAGGACACGGGAGAGGATGCATTGTGGAGTACACATTTGAAATGTCAGAGGTCGGCCCTGAGACAAGTAGCCAAGGTCATGACAAAGTAGCACCTTCCATTGTCCTTACTCTCCCACCAGCCAATTCCATAAGCCCTTCCATCCTGCTCTCCCCTCCACCTTTCACCTCCCCCAGCCACACCCCCACGTCAAGACTAGGCCTTGGATATCCTCTGGACTTGCGCTGTTCGGTACGGAAGCCACGAGCCCCATGTGGCTACAGAGCACCTGTGGCTGTAGCTGGTGCAAAGTAAGATGTGCTGTAAATGTAAAATGGACACCAGGTTTAAAAGAATATAAAGTATCACAATAATTTTTCAACATTGATTACATTAAAATGATAGCATTTTGAGCATATTGAGTTAAGTAAAATGTATTATTAAATTTATTTCTCCTGTTTCACTTTTTACTTTTCTAAAATTACATTTGTGACTCATATTTGTGGCTTGAATTTGATTTCTATTAGCAGCTCTGATTTGGGCTTTCCTTACACTACCTCTAAAGTGCCTCTTAAAGACCTATTTCGTAATCACTTTGTAGCTCCTCCTTTCCCGATCTTCCTACTTGCTCTCCAATGTTTGAAATTCCTTCAAGAAAGGATATCATTTTTTTTTACTTAGTGATGAAATAAATTTAAATGCACAGTTTGAGTTAATACTTTAGTAGGAATAGGTTTTTTTCCCCAATAATTTGTACGTCAGTCAAGTTAACAACCATTAGAACCTTCCCTGGTTGTTTGGGTAAAGGCAAAGGGAAGTGGGCTCCAAATTTCCCAAGGTTTGGGGGTTGCAATGGTGGCACCAAAAGGGACTAAAATGACAAGACATTTGTACCTGCCATTAATTTCACTCAGGCTGCTGCCTGGGGACAACTCTGCTATGGGAAGTTCGTGGCTTTAGAAGAAAGAAAAAAGTCTGATTTCACATTTTACTTTTGTTCCATAGGGACTTGATAATTGTAGTATTTCTATAATTGGGTTTTTTTTTTCCCTCCTTCTGAGCTAAATTTGGCTCTCCATTTGGATTTCCCAGTTTTTCCCCATTTAATTTCTTGACTCTCAGGATTCCAACAAATTTAAAACCGTGCAGCCTTTTAGATTCCAATCGTAGCATGCAGTGAAGGATGTGTAGAGCCAATTGCTTGTTTCTTCCGAGGCCCAGTCCTCTCAGGGGTCTGCCCCCTGTCACGCTGTCCTGGTGGCCTTCCCTGCTCAGAGCTCAGTACTCTGGCCCCCCAGGGTGACCATGGGTCCCCTTGTTTTTTAAAGACTCCGTATATTAGACACAACAGTTAGGATTGAGTAAAGGAAAATATTAGTGTCATACTTCCTGGGGTTCTGGTTTTTGAAAGGAAAATAACTCTAGAGACCAAAGATTGAAAGATGGTTTGAAAACGGGATGAAGTTTTGGATCCGTTTTCAGTGTTAATGAGAATCAGTGTGGTTCCACCATCGAGGAAAAGCAATATTCATTATTCTCCCCACCCCCTGTTCCCCCAATAGGAGCTGTTCAGAAACCTACCGCATGCCAGTGATGGAGTACAAAATGAATGAAGGCGTTTCATACGAATTCAAGTTTCCCTTCCGAAATAATAACAAATGGCAGAGGAATGCCAACAAGGGACCTCATTCGCCTCAAGTCCCATCCCAAGTGCAGAGTCCCATGACCTCGCGGCTGAATGCTGGGAAAGGAGACGGGAAGATGCCGCCTCCGGAAAGAGCCGCCAATATTCCTCGAAGCATCTCCAGTGACGGGCGCCCCCTCGAGAGGCGGTGAGTGTGATTTCAGGGGTTTGCTCTGCATCTCTGCCCCACATTTCAGGAACACCAGACGAATAAGCTCTGGCTTTAGGTCTTCTCATCTTTTACTAGAAATCAAGAATTGAAACTGAGATGCATGCCCTAGTGGCTTTCAAAGCATGGTAGCATTTCAAAGGCATGAGGATAAACAAAGATATATTCCAGCAAAGCATTCGGCTCTGCACACTCATATTTGTGCTTTGCTCTTTAATTTCCATGTGATTATCAACAGAAATCATCACTGTGTACTTAGTGGCCATATGGATTAGAACTTAGCAGACTCTGAGGTGACAGTGACCATATTATCATCTTTGGCAGTCTTCGTTGTTTTGGGACAAATGATATGATAGGAGCAACAGAATGCAAGTGTCTGGTTGAATATCTGTGTTTGCATCACTTTATTAATAAAGAATAGTGAGAAGGAGAAACTATACAGTTCAACCATATTTTTCCACTGCTCTGAAAGTAGGAAAAAATAGTGGGGAGAAGGCATCCCACAGAGCTGGCTTAAAACATTCAGTCCTGAGTAAAATAAGCAAAAGAGGAATAGTTGAGGGATCCTGTAAAATCAGAAACCAGTGTTTGTTGTAAAATTGAAAGTCATGGTGGATTCCTTTGCAGAAGGTAACTGGTTAACTCTCTGCCTTTACAAAGATTCCCTGGCGCTTTTGCCTGGTGTTAGCTGTAAAATGCAGCACTTTGAACTAGAGTCTAGGCCTAACGTGAGAGCAGATTGAGTACTTTCAAAACATGAATTAAAATCGGCTATAAAATTATAAATAATTGCACTAAAAATTTAGTCACCCTGAATTGTGTATGCTAATGAAGGAGACAGTTTAACTGAATAATCTGCTAGTCACTTGCTAGAAGGCAGTTTCTTCTTTCTGTCCATCCACTATCCTTTCCCCGTCACATCTGCTTTCCTTGATCACATGTCAGAATGTTTTTGTGGAAGCCCTTAGAGCTGGGGAGAAGTCTGTGTTTCAGGAACTGTGTTAGGCAGAAGGAAGGGTTCCTATCGAAGCCAAAACGTGACCCTGACTCATCTGAGCAGCAGGGACCGAGTCCAGCAAGAACAGGGTGCCAAGGAAAACGGTTCCCAGATATGCATGAATAATCCTTGGTCCAGTTTGGGAGCAGAAAGCTGGAAGTTTCAGAAACCACACTGTGAAGTCTTTATCTTCGTCTTACTTTCAGGCTGTTGCATAAAATGTTGTCACTTAACTATTTTAGCATACTAGGATACTATGTAGAAATAATTGAATTAAAAACAAATAGACAAATAAAAAAAAATAGTTCTCTTCCTAAAATTCCTCACTTAATCCTAGAGATTTATTTACAGAGCCTTGCTATTTATCTCAGTAAAAGAATCCTCTCCCAAAGTGTACCATGTTGCCATCTGGACTCCTCACTGGCGTAATGTTTGAGGAGGAAAACATCCAAGAGATCTCTGAGTACATTCTTTGTTCTGCTCATTCCAAACTTGGCTCTCTCTGAGGTGTGTGTGAACTGGAATTCATGATTTGGCCCACATTTCGAAAGATGAACCTAGGAAACCATTGTTTAAAGAAGGACCTTTTTTTCCCCCCCTCTCAATACTGTTTTCTTTCTCTCTGGAACAATCAGCAGGCTTTCACAAGTGAAATTGGTTTCGTGTTATTTCCTTTATGCAGTATTCCATATGATAAAAGAGCAGAATGTATCTTGAATCTATGTTGAATTTAATTTCTATAACAGAAACTAACGCTATTGCTGAACATTCCTCCAATAGTGAAAATATTTTTTGTAGCTAAGTATCATCTTTCTATGGGAAGAACTTTCAGTGCTGGAGAATGCATAACCCCTTTTTTACCAGATGGAGCTCCTTGAGTTCTAGAGGTTATTTGTTCATGTTCCTATGCCTGCCTGTCGCCTTAACTCTACCCGGGGGAAAGTGCCTTTCAGTGAGTGCCCACCTGTAGGACTGTAAGAGTAGCCCATGGCTCCTGGCCTTGGAGATGAAAGGGACAGACTGCCTGTGGTTTACAGGGAAATTTAACCCCCACTTACTGCCCCTTCAGGCTTCTCAGTTTCAGGTATACTTCGAGTACACTAGATTAGGACTTCAGCTCTTAGGATGGAGGGTTTAGATGACTTGTGAAATCTCAGACCTTCATTTTCAGGATAATAGTATTATCTGGCTCCTTTTCATTTTGAAGTATGTGGTAATTAGATGGATATCCTCCTTTTGTGAAAATTTGGAGTTCGATTTCCTATCCCACCATTCCTCATTTTTAGTATCACAATGTTTTTCTTTTTTAATTTTTAACTTTGAGGCATAAATAGAAGGTACTATAGATTGAGTATCCCTAATCCAAAAATCCAAAATCTAAAATACTGCAAAATCCAAACTTTTTGAGCACCAGCATGACGCTCAAAGGGAATGCTCATTAGAGAATTCAAAATTTCATATTTTTGAATTAGGGATACCCACCTGTAAGTATAATGCAAATATTCCAAAAATCTGGGGGAAAAAAAACCACCACAAAATCCAAGCATTTCAAATAAGTAATACCCAACCTATGTTTGAGAAACTTTGTTTTGCTACTACAATTTCAGAAATATTTGGGAATAGACTCTTGTCATTCGTTAGGATTATCTCCTGAGTTTATGAATCCCCACCTTCATAAAGTTCTCTGTGGAATATAGTTTTCTTCATGAAATGTAGTAAAATATACTCCATTTTCACCCTTCCCTTTAGAGTCTTATTGAGAACAAAGTAGTGTACTGGGATATGGAAATGAGGAGTCTGGGGACACTTCTCGTCCCTTTGACTTGCCCCTGCACACCAGCCCTGAGCTGGGTACCATTTACATTTGTACCTGGGAACTTTGTAAAGTATAATATGGAGCTTTCGGATGAATCATAAATAGTCAAAACAAATGGCAAGAGTTGACCATACTTTGAATCTGGCCTTACCAATAACAGCATGGCCTGATACTGAGATTAAAGGCTGCCTCACAGTTGGCATCATTGCATTCATAACCACCCCCCCTTGGCAAGTTGTATTTAACTGTAGAGACACCAACTGTATTTGAGCTTAAGGTAGCAGCCGTCTCAAGTTTACTCTGCCCATGCTACATGAATCTGCCCACTCCATTCACCATGGCTGGATCCATCATGGTCCATTTTGTATGAAAACATTAATTTACCGCTTATAAAAGCATACATAGTTTTTCTTTAATTGTATGCAATATCCCAGACTTAAAGGTCATTAGGCACAATTTTAAAAAAATATCCATGGGATAGATTATTTTTCCTTTAATACCATGATCAGGATTTTTATGATATACTAAAATATGCTGATGTTTTGCATTTTGACAAAAATTCTTTAGTTGGGTGGTCCTCTCTGTACATTGCTAAGAGAAACTGACACAGCGAGAACCGATGATCCATTTGCCATCTAAGTAGAATAAAATCTAATTCTGTTTGGTTTGAATATATGTGTTTTATGCTCTCTGAGGGGCCACGTTCTGATTATAGAATTTTACAGTATTTGTGAGAGTAGTATTTGTTAACTGAATTAACATTTACTCCACAGAAGTAGGTAGTATGATACAATCACTATTTTGGCCTCAGATTTACCTAGCGTTAAAGAGTACGATTGAAATAAAAATAGCTGGCTGTAGCACTGAAATTGATACATTACTGTGTTGAAACATAATGTGGGGTCAGTAATAAAACCCTGATCTGTGTTAATATGCTCATAAAAGTTTAGCTATTTGAGGGGCTTTGGATAAACAATAGGCGTCTTAGCACATAAGAGAACTTCCTTTTCTCCTTTTCTTATGTAAATATTTGATGTTAGATCTCATTGAACCATTGGTACTTTTGAGTTTTGCCTGTATGCCCCATAGTCCCCTTGTACCCGATGCATTTAGCTCTAAGCTGGATGGGGGCGGGTCTTCATGTTTAGTGTATGCGGTGTTTGTTACACGGCTGCATTTGCAGCCCCCCTCATCCCTTCCTCAGCAGACACCAGCACCACACAGGGTGTGACCGTTATGCCTGGCAAGTATTGCCGAAACAAACTTAAAAGAGTTCTCCTCTCAGACAGCGTAGTGATCATGTGCGCATTCCGTCTTTATTTTTAAGTAAAATACTTTCTAAATTTGTTAATGCATATCGGTTTTATGCTAATCTTCCACTGTGTCATTTTCTACTTTCAGACAAAACAAGCACCCATTTTAATTTTTACTCTTCCTTTGTTTGGAATACTAGCCATGGTTAGAAGTATCAGGACTTGTACCTTTTAAATACTGTCCGCCTGATCCCAGTTGTGTGACTTGACATGAGGATCCATAAATCGTGGAACTTCAGGCTTCACTGGGATGCTCTGGCGAGGTCCCCACTGACTCCCATCTTTCTAAAACTGCTGGATGTTGTTCCATCATTAGCTTATTTGATACCTTTCACTATTCCCTCCTTCTGCAAACTCTGTTTCCTTATCTTCTAAAACTTTATTCCTGATTTTTTTGTGTTGTCTGCTCTTTACATCTGTCTTATCACCCCAAAATTAGCGTTCCCCATTCCTTCCTCATTTTTCTTTGAATCTCCCACAGTGCACTTTCTCTAGATGGTTTGTCTACTTAGTAACCTTGACCCTCGTCGGTATGTGGGCAGTTCCATAACTGATCTGTTTTGCCTTGGCCTCTTTTTCACTTGTCATATCCACATGCCGACTACCGACTGCACTTACATCTGTACTTGAACGTTATGCAAGTGTCGCACACTCACAAGTCCAGACCACCTTGGCCTTCCTCTGCCCCTCCTTCCACCTCTTCCTTCTCACCAAGGCGCTCCCCACCTTGGTGGATGGCTTTAGGGTCCACCCGAGTATGCAGAGCAGAGCTGGGATTCATCATCAACTTCCCCATGACCCTCATCCCCGTCTCCCCACACATTAACTTACCAACCCTTAACTTCTGTTGAGT